GGGGTCACCACCTATATCACACACGGGGTCACCACCTATATCACACACGGGGTCACCACCTATACCACACATGGGGTCACATATATCACACACACGGGGTCACCTATATCACACACGGGGTCACCTATATCCCTCACAGGGTCACCTATATCACACAGAAGGCAACGGGTTCATATCAGCTGTTCTGTAAAAGATGTCTCTGAGTGGTACCAGTGGTTTGCACTTGACTACTAAATTAAAGGTTGGGGTTCAAAGCCACGCAGTGGTACCACAGAATAAACGTTGGCAATCTGCTTCCGTTAAGAGCTCAGTCAGGAAAGTCGCATGGAGCTTTCTACTCTGTCACGCATGGTGTTACCATCAGTCAGAATCGATTCAACAGCAATGAGTTTGGCTTTTTTGGTTTATTATGTAAAAGATCAACTGGCCCCTGGCCCACTGAGACATAGACCCTCACAGATGTGTGCAACTTGGCTCTTTTCAGACCTCAGTTTACTCTGTCTGATCACCCTCATCTCAGAAATGCACATGATACAGTAAGAAAAGAAAGATTTATTCCATCGTGGTTGTTATTTCTCTCAAAAGTCAGAGAAGAGTCCTGGATTAGAGTGGGAATTTTCTAACTATTACAGTGAATGTTGTTTCCGGGGTTAATTTATACGTTAGAACAAAACAAAAATAACAAAGGCATATCTTAACCTAAGACAATATTTGATCTGAAGACAATAAACACATAAAAATACTAAAATCATATTTCTTGATTTCTATATTAAAAGATAAATATGTTGATAACTTGTTCCAATAAGGTATGTGATATTATCAATGGTTATTCTTTATAAGTGAATATATACATTCATGCACTCTATTTTCTGCAAAGTTGCAAGCTTATAATTTCTGAAAAGCAAACTTATATTCTGTGTCCCTAAAAAAGAGGAAAGAAATAAGCTAGTAAAATTTTTAAAAAGTACTGTAAACCATTGAATAATCATTAAAATACTCAATAATCCTCTTCTTCATACGGCCCCAAAGTGAGCTATAATTAGATTAATTGGATTTGTCATAAAAACAGACAGAAATTGCACCACTACATTATAAAAATAAGTTTGATAAAAACAGCTGAGTTGTATAATAAGCAATAAAAACTCATATGGCTTATTACACATTTAATTCCGTATTTCAAGTAGAAATCATACTCACACAGTGAAGTTTTTCTTTTGAGATTTTCTGGCTTTCTGTAGTTTGTTTTCCAAATTTTTCCTCTGTCTTTCAGAATTTGGGTATTTAAGACCATTTTGCTTCATTATCAAATTCTCAAAAAGTTTTGAAGCTGCATTTTCCACTGAGTGAATGTTGAATCTATGTTAAACATTGGTGACAACATTTGATGATCGTATGCCCATATCACTCGACCCATCTACATCACTAAAGCGAATTTTTGTCAGCAAGAATATTTGTTTAGGCAATATTATTCTCTGCCTTCCATTTATTGAAGCCCGCTTGGTTCCTAAATTAGGGTATATCTAAGCGAAAGAAACAGAGTCAGCTGGACAGGTTAATTTTTAAGCAGTAACTATGATAAATAAGGGAACCCTGGCGGCCTAGTGGTTAAGAGCTACGCCGCTAACCAAAAGGTCGGCAGTTGGAATCCACCAGGTGCTCCTTGGTAACTCTATGGAGCAGCCCTACTCTGTCCTGTAGGGTCGCTATGAGTGGGAATCGACTGGACGGCAGCGGGTTTGGTTTGATTTTTGGTTATGACAAATAAAAAAGTTAGGTAAGGGCTCTTTGCTGGCTTAAAACTGCTCCCTTCCCATTTAAAAAGTCCCAATGTAAAGAATTCTGAATATCTGTGAAGAATAGACCAGTACTTTGTGACGGTTGTTACCAGTCAGTTCGTTTTCACCTGTGAACGCAGTTTGAGTTGGGACTTTAATTTTGAGGGAATTTCTATGAATAATGTTGTACTTCATCATTTCTGGTTTGTCCTTTTTATCATGTCTTTGCTCAAAAACTTTCCTATTTACTACAAGATAAAATGCACTCTCCTTTTTTATAGGCATTTGCAGGAGTTCACAATTTGGCATAAATTACCCGACTGTCTTCCTTGAACGTATATATGTATAAAGGTTATGTGTGGACAAGGGGACGCGTACGTACATACATAAAAACCCGAAAAACCAAACCCGTCGCCATCAAGTCGATTCCGACTCACAGGAACCCTGTATAGGACAGAGTTGAACTGCCCCATAGGGTTTCCAAGGAGGGGCTGGTGGATTCGAACTGCCGATTTTTTGGTTAGCAGCCTAGCCCTTAACCACTGCGCCACGAGGGCTCCATACATATATACACATGCATAAATTAAACTCACCTCCAAAAACAAACAAACAAAAAACCCAAACCTGTTGCTGTGGAGTCAATTCTAACTCATCGCAACCCTATGGTCTCCAGCCAAAGCTATTCTCCATCTCGCTATCTAGCTATCTCCCTCGGAAGTTTGCTCGTAACCTTTGTGACAAAAGATTTTGCTTTGCTTTGTTTTTTTTTTTTTTTTTTTTTTTTGTTTGTTTGTTTTTGGATGGGGGGTGGCCACAGGTCTTGTTCTATTTCAGATGGCGTGGAATAAATCAGATTTCGGCTTGAAGTCCTTCTTTCTTCTCCCTGTCTAGCCTATCTACATTTTGAGACCCTGCTGGTTTGTAAAAACTTCATTGACCATCCCAGCCCATTGTACTAATTCTTCCAGCTAAAATATAAAGCACTTAGTGTCTTTTTCACATATTTATTTAGAACATATAGTAAGTTAAGTACCCTTGAGGGGCAGACTATGCTTTACAGTTAATAATGTACTACTTTGCTATGCTGTGTTTCCAAAGGTGACATATGCATCTTTACATCCCCTGCAGTACCTACAGAATGCCCTGAACACTGTAAATGTTTAGTAAATGTGTATGAACTGCCTGGGTGCGCTATTGTTTCTGACTGACTCAGGTCATATGAATGGGGGCTCTAGTCGTCAGCTAAATATTTTGTGAAGGAAAATCATTATTTTAAGAATGATGAAAACATGATGGCTAACTATCTGATGTCATTTCCAAGCCTCACCTCGGTTTTCTTTTAACTCTATGAAGGGACAAATGGAAAGAGGCGACTAGGGAACTGTCTTCAGGCTTCTCTAAGATCTTTTCTTTGTACTAAAGGGCTTAGCTATGGTACATTTTTGAAAATAAGGTACAGAGCAGATATTCAGTGTGTGGTCAGCTGTGTATATGTGCAAGCTGTTACTGTACATACCCTCTTTTGGTGAACATACAATACAGTCTTAGCCTTTTCCATTCTCTGACTTAGATTATATATAGAATTTTTTAAATAACTGATGGACTAGGGATTTCCACTCTACCAAACTATATAATCAGATTTTGAAGTGTAACTGTATAAGAGAGGTGTTCCATCCTATCACATCATACCCTATTTGGTACAGTAAGTATGACTTCAACATAAATAGAGTTAAAATTCCTCAAAGTTCCACAAAATACAAAGCAGAGATTATATATCCTTCCTTAATGATACTTTTCAAACATCTTCAAATTCATACAAATTCAAGTGTAATGACATCTGTGCAAAACATTACTTACGAAAAAAATATTGCGGGCAGTCTATCCATTTGTTTAAGTTTTTCCACAAAACAGGGAAACGTTCTTCGCTTTTCAGATTCTGCACTGTCAAAAGTTTGAGGCTTAAGGTACTTCACGAACTGATCCACCTGCATAAAATTTGTGTAAGTAATAGGTAGATGATAAAATATTTGTGATTTTGAAAACTAGTGAACAAAATCAGTTCATATTTGAGACTGGAAATCAAAATAGTGAAAATATAACAACTTATGAAGAAAGTTGGGTATTAAATCTAAATCCTGCACTAAATATTTTTAGATAAGCCAAGGGCTTAGCCATCTGTACCACCCGGGCTTCTAGCTAGCTCAATTAAAGGGAGAATATCATGGCATGGTGATGGAATTTACTTCTTCAAATTCTGAAGAGCTTTATAAAAGGGCAATACTCCTGTGCCTAAATAAAGAAATCAGATTCATTTCATATCAATCTCCTATTTAAGTAAATCCTAAATGGTTTTAACTACCTTGTCTGGGTTCAGCTAAATCCAACGAGTCATTTCCTTTTTGAGTTCCTCTTCATATTTCTTTGCATCCGTTCTCATGACGATTACTTTATTTTTAAAGCAACTGAATTCCTCAGGTTCTAACTCCTTGAAAATGAAGACCCACAAATACCAGTGAGAATGGAATCATTATCCTTTCTAACGTTTTCCACATACACTACTATAAAGTCAATCTATCCTACAGATAATACCCATCCACATTCAGTTACCCAACCAACTGCATATAGGCTGACCACTTCTGTTCTATTTGTATTGGTTGAATACTACATTATTCTGTTCTAATGAGAACCTACCAACACACAAATGATTTTTTTTACATTTGCAAAGAATTTTAGTTTTATAAAATTAAATTTATGATTTTACTTACACTGAATTATGAATTTATAAATATTTTTATAAAATAAGATGAAATTAAATTTTCAAAAATGAAGCAAACATCAACTTTAATTTTTAGTTGATATTTTGACCTTACTAATTTTGTCTTTCTTTTTTTAATTTCATTGTGCTTTACATGAAAGTTTACAGCACAAAACTAGCTTCTCATTCAAAACACATAAGTGATTTTTAATACAGTATTGCATTTTGCTTTAGAAATAAAAATGAAAATTGCTAAAGTGTTCATTTAAAACATACATAGTTATCTTAACTTGACAAGGGTCTCTTACAAGCACTTCGCAGATAACTATTCAGTCAGTCTTCACAACAGCTCTGCAAAGTAGGTATGATTATAACCTTGTAGCAGAGAAAAAATACTGAACAGATAGAATATTTAACTAATGTGCCCAGTTGTGCAGCACTGGGACGCCAGAGTCTGTGTTGTTATAAATGAGTAATGTTGCCTTCATCTGTAGCAGAATAAATGCCGTTCACCAGTTTGTCCATTATTGATGTGCTGCAAAGCGGTACTCCTTGTATATCTATGAATCTCTCTCTGTACATATACACACACACCTGCATTCTTGACCATTCTGGCCAAATATGTACCATAGCATCATAAAGCAGAATGCTTTCTCGAGGAGAAAATCCAAGGTCTAAAGGGATTCCATATTTCTTTATCTAGAAATCACAAAATGCAAAAAAAAACCCACACACATAAATATCATATCGCTAATACAGATGCATAGGGATCTAGAAACTTACTCATTTTGAAAAGCAGTTTCTACTTACGTGATTGACTGTTAGTGCGCCACAAGGGTGATAATTTCAATGACAAAGTCATTATCCTTTATGGAACACACATGCTTTTCTAGATCATTGTATTGCTCTTTGTAACGTACTGTAAATACAGGAAAGAGGAGTCAGTGTTCCTATCCTGTATATCTGTGTTTCACTTTTCCTACTGGTGTTCATCTTATATTACCTTCTGTAATTCTTCTTCAGGTCCTGGCTTTTAATTTCAATTTTCTACTTTATTTTTGTATACATTCTGGTAAAGCTTGCCTTTGTATAATGGAATATAGGATGAATAAATAACCATGCGTGTGTGTGTGTGTGTGTGTGCACATGTAGATATATAATCACATAATTATATTTTGATTGTTCTTTAGGTGAAGGTTTACAGAGCAAATTAGTTTCTCATTAAACAGTTAATACACATATTGTTTTGTGACATTGGTTGCCAACCCCACGATATGTCAACACTCTTCCAGTCTTGACATTGGGTTCCTCATTTTCATTTGTCCAGCTTTCTTGTCCCCTCCTGTCTTCTCGTCTTTAACCCTGGGCTGGAGTGCCCATTTAGTGTAATATATATGGTTGAGCTACGTGTATTATTGTTTCTTTTATGGGCCTGTCTAATCTCTGGCTAAAGGATGAACTTCAGGAGTGACTTCAGTACTGAGTTAAAAGAGTGTCTGGAGGCCATACTGTCAGGGTTTCTCCAGTCTCTGCCAGACCAGTAAGCTGTTCTACATTTTTTTCGAGCTCTGTCTGGGACTCTCTATTGTGATCCCTGTCTGAGAAGTCTGTAGCGGTAGCCAGGCATCATCTAGTTGTACTGGACTCAGTCTGGTGGAGGCTGTGGTAGTTGTGTTCCATTAGTCCTTTGGATAATGTTTTCCTTGTGTCTTTGGTTTTCTTCATTCTCCCTTGCTCCAGATGGGGTGGGACCACTAGACGTATTTTAGACGGCCACTCACGTGCTTTTAAGACCCCAGACACAACTCACCAAAGTAGGATGTAGAATATTTTCATTCTAAACTATGTTACACCAATTGAGCTAGATGTCCCCCAAGACCATGGTCCCAGCCCTCAACCCAGTAACTCGATCCCTATGAGAGTTTAAACGTGTCTAAGAAGCTTCTATGACTTTGCCTTGGTCAAGTTGTGATGGCTTCCCCAGTACTGTGTACTGTCTTATCTTTCACCGAAGTTACCACTTACCTATTGTCTACGTAGTGCTTTCCCCTCCTCATCCCTCCCCTCCCTAGTAATCATCAGAGATTGTTTCTTTCTGTGTGTAAACATTTTCATGAGTTTTTATAATAGTGGTCTCATACAGTATTTCTCCTTTTATGATTGACTTATTTCACTCAGCATAATGCCCTCCAGATTCATCCATGTTGGGAGATGTTTCACAATTCATCATTGTTCTTTATTGTTGCATAATATTCCATTGAGTGTATGGACCATAGTTTGTTTATCCATTCATCTGTTGATGGGCATCTAGGTTGTTTCCATCTTTTTCTATTGTGAAGAATACTGCAGTGAACACGGTTGTGCATATGGCTATTTATGTGATGGCTCTTATTTCTCTAGGATATATTCGTAGGACTGGCATTGCTGGATCATATGGTATTTCTATTTGTAGCTTTCTAAGGAAGCGCCTGATCATTTTCCAAAATGGTTGTACGATTTTGCATTACCACTAGCAGGGCATAAGTTCCAATCTCCTCGCAGCCTCTCCAACATTGGTTATTTTCTGTTTTTTTTGTTTTTTTTTTTTTAATTCATGGCAGTAATGTTGGGGTGAGATGGTATCTCACTGTAGTTTTGGTTTACATTTCTCCAGTGGCTAGTGATCGAGAGCCTTTCCTCATGTGTTTGTTAGCCCCCTGAATATCCTCTTAGGTAAAGTGTTTATTCATACCCTTTGCCCATTTTTTAATTGGATTACTTGTGTTTTTCTTATGGAGATGTTGCTTTTTCCTGTACATTTTAGACCTTTGTCGGATATACCATAGCCAAAATTTTGTTCCCAGTCTGTGGGTTCTTTTTCTATTCTGGTGAAGTCTTTTGATGAGCATAAATGTTTAATTTTTAGAAGATGCCAGTTACCTAGCTTATCTTCTGGTGTTTGTGTATTGTTCATTACAGTTTGTATTCTATTTATGCCATGTATTAGGGCTTCTAGCATTGACCCTGTTTTTTCTTCCATGATCTTCATAGTTTTTGGTTTTATATTTAGGTCTTTGACCCATTTTGAATTTGTTTTTGTGTATAGTCTGAGTTTTGGGTCCTGTTTCATATTTTTACAGATGGACATCCAGTTTTGCCAGCACCATTTGTTAAAAAGACTGTCTTTTCCCTACTTAATGGACTTCTGGCCTTTGTTGAAGATCAGGTGACCCTAGGTGGGTGGATTTACATCTGGGTTCTCGATTCTGTACCATTGGTCAATGTGTCTGTCTTTGTACAATTACCAGGTTGTTTTGACTACCATAGCAGTCCCATACTCTATCCTTAATCATACTGAAATTATGCAAGGATTTTACTTTTTACTGAAATAGATATTTTTGAGAAAGAGCTTGACCACTGAGTTTAATAGATCCACCATTAATTAGTTGCTACTTAACTTCCTAGAACTTAGTTTCCTACTCTAAGTAAAAATAAAATTGACTTCTTTTCAGGGCTGTAGTAAGAACTAAATTGTTTTGCATATACAAGAGACCCTAATATGATGCAAAGGTCCCTGGGTGGCATAAATGGTTTGTGTGCAACTGGTTAATAACTGAAAGGTTGGTGGTTTGAACCCATCCCATGGTACCGCAGAAGAAAAGGCCCGGGAATCTGCTTTTGTAAAAATTATAGCCACGAAAACCCTATGGAGCAACTCTACTCTGTAACACATGGGGTCACCATGAGTTGGAATCGACGTGATGGCATAAGGCAACAACAACATCAACGATACAATGCAAGCACACAGAGTGTGCTCAGTGCTTCTGCGTTCCCCTTCTCCCGTGTTAAGATACCCAGACCCAATCTAACTCAGTAAGATGGCTTTTCTCTCCATTTGCTTTCTTGTTTCTTTGAACCTTTCAAGGCGTTTTGTGATGCACCAGAATTTTCCATTGTGCTCTCAACATCTCGCCAGTATCTTTTAATCAGCACCGACCATCGAGTTATAAAAATAAAGATATTATTGTCACAGAAAAACAAATACGCAACATCATTTGTCTTTAAAGAAAAAAAATCATTTCAAAGTGATTTTAAGAAAATCAAACTTGTCTCTAAATTCTGAACATATACTAAAACGATTTGTATATTGCATAGTTTAATCAATTGTGAATTTCAAATAAACACCAAGGACTGATACTTTCAGGTTCCTTATAAATTGTACCGACCAAATACAGCGGTTATTTCCATTTCTGCCAAAACAATGTTGACCCATTGTGAAAACGCTTCTTGAAATTTTGCATGGGGAAGTTAGTAGTATGCATAGGGTATTTGACGGATAGTTTCAAACTTCATTATGCTGCTCTACAAGAACTTAACTATCAAAGAATAAACAAAAAATTATATCGTTTTTACATAAAATTCATGAGGGACCAGGTAAGTACATGTCATTATGTTGTATCAAAGAATAAGAAAAGATGCTTTCTAGTTAAATATAACCGAAATCAAAGGAAATAAATCTCAGCTGAAAACGTTTATGCATTTTGTTTTGTTTTAGAGATTATTGGAATAAACCCATGACCAGACAGAATTACGTATCCATTCATAGCAACAATGTACAATTTAAACTTACTCAGTAAGATCTTCAGGATTACTGATAGTAGCAGAAAGTGCCAAAAAGGGACACCGAATCATAACAAGAAGATGTTCCCAAACTTCTGCTCCCACTTCTCCCCCAAGACAGTGAACCTGTTGATGTATAAAAATAGGTTTAATATAAAACAGTTTAAACGTTTCTAACATTTTCGGAGATTATGCTACCAGGATCTATTATTTCCTTCTCCTTACTCGTTCGGTAATATACATTCATCCAAAGTAGGTCAATGAATCCAACGTGCTTTTGAGCAGACTTCACATGGATTTGAGACTTTTACCAATAATAAATCCAGATATTACTTGTTCCATCTTGCACTATAATAGCTGAACTATTTTTTTTTAAAAAGAGATTATTACATCCCCTAGTAACAAAAGCTCATAAACAAGAAAAAAGATGAGCAAAAGAATAAGCTGCATATGTCTTATTTTGAAACAAAATATCGGCTAAATTACAGAGATTGTCATGAAAAGAAAGATAGTAAGATGCAGAAAAACCTCTATAAAAATTAAATATTCACTCGTGTCACTAATCCCACCACTAAAATATAGATAAAAAATGTTTATGAAACGAATTGACTTGAAATAATAAACTTCACCAGGATGTTACTCAGTCTGCAAATGCGTATAGAGCACTTATTGTACAATAGTTAGAAATAAAGAATAGAAAACAGTTAGAAAGCCTGAGTGCCCTGCCGACAAATGGAGACAAGCGCAGTGATAAACTCATTCATCGTTAATTCACCAACGTGACATGTACCCTTAATAAACGTGTATAAAAACAAGAGCAACCCTGCAAGACTTGATTCTGAATACTTTCCATAAAATTCTCAACTAATAATAACCTTCATCTACTAAAACTAGAACCTTATGTATGTTATACCCTATTTTTAATAAAACATGAATGAAATCAATTAACTCAATTTCAAAAGGCCTATGGTGATGAGTTATCTCTGATTTTTACGAAAGAATGTGTCCTTTATAGATCACTATAAAGCCGTCAGAAGCTCTGGTGGCACAATGATTTAAGCACTCGGCTGTTAACAGAAATGTTGGCCGTTGGAACCACCAGCTGCTCCTCCGAGAAAGAGGTAGCAGTCTGCTTCTGTAAAGATTACAGCCTTGGAAACCCCGTGGGGCCATGCTACCTTGTCCTATAGGGTCGCTATGAGTGGGAATTGACTTGAAGGCAATGAATTATAAAGTTGGCATTGTGGAGAAGTAAATGGAAGCTTTTGCAGAGCTTTTAGTCAAAATAAAACAAAGAGAAGAGAAAAACATAAAGAAAATCAGAAACGTATTGGTAACAAGGATATTTTAATATAGTGTAACATGAATGTGTGTTTGATATATCAAAGAATAATTGATAAATAAGTGACAGCGTGGGATTTATGACCTTGAAGTGACAACTCTTAAAGGTACACACACACACACACACACACACACACACACACACACACACGCATGGTTATTTATTCATCCTATATTCCATTATACAAAGGCAAGCATACAAAAATAAAGTAGAAAATTGAAATTAAAAGCCAGGACCTGAAGAAGAATTACAGAAGGTAATATAAGATGAAGACCAGTGGGAAAAGTGACACACGGATACACAGGATAGGAACACTGACTCCTCTTTCCTGTATTTACAGTACGTTACAAAGAGCAATACAATGATCTAGAAAAGCATGTGTGTTCCATAAAGGATAATGACTTTGTCATTGAACATTATCACCCTTGTGGAGCACTAACAGTCATTCACGTAAGTAGAAACTGCTTTTCAAAATGAGTAAGTTTCTAGATCCCTATGCATCTGTATTAGTGCTATGAAATTAATGTTGTTGGGTTCTTTGCATTTTGTGATTTGTGGTTCGATCAAATAGTGGGACCCTAACCAAAAATGCAAAAGAAAAGAAGTAAAACAATTTGACATAAACATTTTGCAGCTTTTAATTCAGTGTTACGCTTGGGAACACTAAGTCTTACTGTTTGACTGCAGAGATGGCTTTATAATTGTGCTGAAACGTGACACAGCATTAAAAGTGTAGAACGCTCCCTGCGTTCCAATTCTGGGCCTGCTATTAAAACTGCGCAAACTTGGGAAAATCAGCTACTCTCCCTTGTGTCAGTTTTGTGGGCATAATAATAGTACCTACTTCACAGGCTGTCTCTGAAGCCTAAATGGATTAATAGCTGGAAATTGTTTAGAATAAATGCCCATAGGAGATATTAAAAATCATGGTAGCTGTTATCATTTTACACGTACGGCAATATGTGCAGAAGATTATTTATATCTAAGAGTCAATTTTTGCATTCTTTTTTCCTCTGTTTTATTGTGAAATACAACATTCAGTAAATTGTATAAAACAAATTTTCAGATTAACACAGTATTATAAAACAAGCATCTCTGTAACCACTCCCATAACTAAGATAAACGATGTTGGGAGCACTTCAGAAATTTGGAATAGAGCATTCTCCTTCTCTGGAGGTACTGTGATGCTATTTTATTATGATTCCTCTGCTTTTCAACATACTTCTCTCCCGAGACAACCTGCCTATGTATAAATCTACATCTAAATTTAAATCTGTATCTAGATCCATTTGTATGTATTCTATTATATGACCATGTTGTTATTCTAGCCCTTCAAGTCTATTCTGACTCATAGTGATCTTTTAGGACACAGTAGAACTGCCCCGTGGGGTGTCCTTGCTGTAATCTTTACGGGAGCAGATTGTCGGGTTTTTTTTTCTCCTGTGGAGCCCCTGGTGGGTTTGAATCACCAATGTTTTGGTTAGTAGCTGAGTGCTTAACCATTGCGCCATATACACGTGGTTCTGTTTGTGGGCTCTCGGGCCCATGGGTCTGTGTGTTTATCCCTGTTTCAATTCATCCCCTTGATAACCATAAGACTACAATAAACACTGATATCTGATAGAGGAAGTTTACCCACCTTGATGTTCTTTCTCAAATGTATCATTTTGTCCTTTTGCATTTCACGTAAATTTCAGAATCAGACAATCAACCCCGCTACACACCCACACCCACACCCACACCCACACTCTCACAGACACACACCACAGAGGGAGAGAAAAAAAAACCTGTAGATTGTGATTGCATTGAATCTATAGAACAATTTGGGGACTTAATATGTCCAAATTGATCTACAGGTTTAGGGCAATCATAAACATAATATTAAACTTTTCCATTACAAGAAACTGGACTATTTCTCTCCATATCTTTCTACTTACTTTATTTTTTTAACTATCATTTAGTAGAGTTTAAACATTTCTTTATAAAAACCTTGCAAATGTTTCTACAGATTTAGTCCCAAGTACTTCAGCTATTTTATGTATTATAAATGCTATTTAAAGTGCTTGTATATTTCATTTTCTCAAGGTGTTGCTGACTTGAAAATTATTCATTAATTTGAATTTCCATGGATCGAAAATATAAGGGTATGATCTGGACCAGAGTGTAATTATGCAAGAAAGACAAAACAAAAACATACTGTGATGCTTAAGGTTATTTGTCGACTTGGCTAGGCCTGCTTCTCAGTGGATTGCCAGATATTATGCAATCATCCTCTATTTTGGGATATGATATGAGTAGCCAATAAGAGGAAACGGGAATTTCCTGGAAGGTGTGGCCTGCTTCCAATATATATGGATGTTCTAGCAAAGCTCTGTCTCTCTCTTGATCTAGCCTCTGACTTGTCATCCTCTGACCTTCAGTTCTTGGTTTGTGAGCCAGTAGCCTGCTGTCTGACCTGCCGATTTTGGGTTCTTCAGCCCCTGCAACCACGTGGGTCAGGAGAAGCCACCAGCCTCACACTTGACCCACAGACTTGGGACTTGCCAGCCTCCACAACTGTGTGAGCCATTTTCTTGAAATAAATCACTCTCTCTCTCTCTATTTTTATATACACACTTCATTGGTTTTGCCCTTCTAGAGAACCAAGCCGAAGATAAACAGTTAAAAAAAAAAAAAGTACCTTTGGAAATTAAGAAATATACTTCTAAACAACCCATGGATCAAAGAAGAAATCAGGACAAGACTTAAAATATATTTCGAATTAAATGAGGAAAATAATAAAACCTATCAAGTGTTACTAAAATAGTATTTTAAGATTAATGTATACCCTTAAATACGTATGTTAGGTAAGAATTGAAAAAGTATTTTTCAAATTATATGTCATTTTCCTAAATTTGCAGCCTCTCTTTTTGTTTCTTGCTCCTTCTTCTCTGTTTGTTTTGGTTGGGTTTGATTTGATTTTGTTGTTGTTTATATTTTGCTTTTTGTTTCCTGCCTGGTAGTGGTCAGCAAACCAAAGCTAGCTAGAAGGATGAAGCCTTTCTACTCTCCAGCCTTCGATGTCTAATTTTAGCCACCAACGTCCCTGGTGGTAGGTAAGTAGGAAATTATCTCTTAAAAGATAGTCAGTTCAGTGGGATAAAAGTTCTTTGGCTAAAAGAAAATAAAAAAGAGTCTATTGGTGCCCTGGTGGCGCAGTGGTTAAGAGCTTGGCTGCTAACCAAAAGGTTGGCAGTTCAAATCCACCAGCCGCTCCTTGGAAACCCTATGGGGCAGTTCTAGTCTGTCCTATA